ACCTCCAAGGTCCCTTCCAACTTTACTACTATTATTATTATTATATTATAGAGAAAATGTAAACAAAGCTGTAACCTAAGAGTAAGAGGTTATTTTATATTTATAATTATAATTACTCTAAAAAAGAACAGAAGTCACTCCTCTATTACTCTTTTTTCTTTTATTTTGCACCTTTGTCTTTGCTCTTTTTTCCTTTCACTTTTCTTCTTTCTGAATAATTAGTTCTTGTTTAGTTTTTATTCTGCATTAAAAATTTAATAAAACTTATTTTAAAAAAAACATATCAGAGAGCTATATGGACTTCCCTTTTATCTCATCAGAATAGATGAGGAAAAATGGTAGGAATGCTATCTATTAAGAAAATAACAAAAGGACATAGAAGGGAAGCTATCTTTTTCCAGATCTGTTTCTTTCCCTTTCCCTTTTAATATGTAGCAGTCCAACAATGAGATCTTTTAAGATAATTAAAAGGAGATACTCTGTCACTCCAATATTTATAATGAACATCATCTTAACATATTCAATAGTCTTGCTTATGACATGCTTACAACATAGCCCCAATAATAGCTGCTTTTAGGAAACACATTATAAAAACATATTTTGCCATGGGAAGACTCCCTCAAAAGACTGTTTACACTAATGTTTTCAGAAAACCTTAGATAAGTTGATATTCAAGCTAATTTAGGAGAACAAATCAACACAGATCCATCCACTAGTTTTTAAATAATATGAATATGAAATAACTGATCTTCAAATCAAAATATTAGGTCAGCCTCTATACCAGAAAGCAGACTATTGGCCAATATAACACCATTTTTCAATACCAATTTGGGTAGAATTCAGAAAACATATGGCTAGAAAAAGGTCTTTGACAATCACCAAAATTCTTCAGTAAACATATTAATCATAGGATAATTGAAGAGGCTCTTTGCAGGTAACAGATTAAAGAATGGAAAGAAATGAATAAATGATTGCCTATTGCAAGGAAATAAAAAAGAGCTAGAGCAAGAATTTGGATTGGGACTGTTGATTTTACCTTGTGCATAAATTATTATTCTATAATTAATAATTTTGAGTTCTAAAAGATTTTGAGTAAAATAAAGAAAAGCTAGTGAATGGTCAAAATATGGTTACAGATACTTCAATGGAGTCTGAGCAGGTAAATACAAAAAAGTTGAATTAATTTTTCAGTTTCTTTCAGTTCTGTTGAGGTTTCTAGTAAAAAAAAGCAAATTTCATGCTGGGGATAGTTAGAAAAAAACACCTGGAAACAAAACAGCCAATATTATTCAGCTTTTAGAAAAAATCAATGGTATGGTTACATTTGAATATTGTTCTAGTTACAATAAGCTAAAGAAGATGACTGTAAAATTGGAAAACATATAGAAAGGAATAGCCAAAATCATCAAGAAGCTGGAGTGATTCTGACTTCTAGTTTGCCATCGCAGCTGCCACGGCCGCTGGAAGGTGAGCTCCATCTTCCGTGTTTGGTTTTGCTCCGCTGGGGGACCCTGGAAAGGGTTGAAAGTTGCACTGTAGGAGCGATCAGCAAGAAGGGGATCCCCCCCTTGATCGCAGGAGGGCGGTAGCCCTTCCGCTCGATCCAGGGCAGCCCTCCAAACTGGTGGATGAAAGACTGGCCATAGAAATATGATTCATCACTAAGCTTCAAACAGCCAAAGTCAAACTTACCACCAGGCACTTCTAAAGTAGTGCGGATGAGACTGTGTGAGATCTGAACCTCTCTTTAATCCCAAGTATTTTCTTTACCTGTGAAAGTTTCCCTCCTATGAGAGGGAAGGGAAGTTCTATCCCACCCTCTAAGAATAGCAGCGACTGACTATCCAGGGAGTTAAAACACTGAAAAAATAACCTTAATCTAACTGGATTTATATACTTCTCAAATTTGGAGACCAAAAGATTTCTTATCTTTACTGAAGACTTTGGTTTTTATTTACAAAAAAGAGATAAAATTGGAAAAAGGATTATAAAAATTTTGGACTTAAAAAACCTTAAACGGCATTGGTGACATCTTATGGCTAGGTTTGATATTACAACTTGTTATTGTCTAAAGGAGACTTGGCTTGAAGCCCAGATTACAGATAAGACTTTTTCAACCTTGACAAATACTAACTGTGAGAAGCTCATTTGTGTCCTATATCTAGTTATAAAATTATTTTCATTCTCTGACTTTAAAGCCCTCAACTTAACACAACATCAAGAGAATATGGATGAAGACCAGGAACAGATTCTTTTTATGTTGAAAGCAATACATGAAAGCATTCTTTCAGCTTGCGATGAATTGCTACAGAAAAGAACAAGATGTCAGCCTAGATATACGAACCCAAATTTTGACTACAATTAAAGAATCAACTACGCAGAAGATAACAAAAGAAGTGGAACAATTAAATATTATGATAGAGGTTTCAACTGACCAACGAATACAATCAATGGAAAATCCAGAATAGGGATTGACAACACTGAAAATGAAAAAGACTTTCTATATAAACCAGAAGAAATTTGAGGAGCAAGAAGAACAGACCAAAGGGAAGACAAACATATCAGGACAACTATGGAGATTTGGAATAATAGAGAGACGATTCGTTAGCTCTTCCAAAAAATGGTGACTGGATAGTCTCTCTTATTTTAAATAATAACAGAGGAAGATCTATTTGATGACTTAAAAGCACTGACATGGAAGGCGAGCTGGCAAAGGAAGAAAGCTAGAATAAGGCTGAAGAAAATTGGGGTTTTGACTTATTAGAGAGGATTTTATATTACTAATTAAAATAGAATATATTCAAATAGAGAAGATGTGTATTTTGAATACTAGATTTTGTTATGAATTGAGATAAAGAAAACCTTGGTCACTTAAAACTTGGAAGTATAAATATTAAAAGTTAAATTTGAATATTGGTGGAAAATTAAAAATTGAGGAAAAAATAAATAGGATATTGTCTATAAAGATTGAATGTAAAAGTAATTAAGATACGTATAAGCTAAAAATTTATTGATAAATGTAATAAGCATGTTTTTATTTAGTTGATATAACAAGAACTGCATTAGCTTAAATGTGAGACAGTAGATATTAAGGGAAAAAGAGAGGAAATATTTGATGTTGAAATAAGGGAAATTTTCGTCATTAAATTTAAGACATTTGGAAATTAATTGCAAATAAGGATGTTATATTGTATTATTAACTAGATGATACAAGATGGTGGGAAATAAAATATACTCAAATAGATAAGATGTGTATCTTGAATATTAGACTTTGTTATGAATTGAGATAAAGGAAACTTTGGTTACCTAAAATTTGGAAATTATAAATATCAAATGTTAAATTTAAATATTGATGGGAAACTGAAAATTGGGAAAAACTAATAACAGGACATTGATTGCCTACAAAGATTGAATGTAAAAGCAACTAGGATATGTATAAGCTAAAATTTATTGATAAATGTAATCATGCTATTTTTACTTAATAGATATAATAAGAACTGTTCAAATATGAGGTAGTAGATATTAAGGGGAAAAGAGAGGAAATATTTGATGTGGTTGCTTGAGATTTGTAGTAAAGATATTTGTATGCTATTGAATTATCGATTAACCCAGCCACCACGTTGCTTTTTCAATACTTAAATGTAAAATTAGAAAATTAATAAAATATTACAAAAAAAAGAAGCTGGAGTGATTCTATTATGATTTTGGGCTTTTTAAAACAGAGATAAAAAGCAAGTAAGAATAGATATATGGGTATAAAATTAGGCATAGTACAAGGAAAATGAGGTTTTTGTTCCTTTCTCATTATAGTCAAACTTAGGATCCGCCAATGAAGTTGGATGGTGGGAGGTTCGAGGCAGATTAGCAGACTTCAGAATGCTATAACATTCTGGTGTCAAAAAAAAAAAAGACATTTGTTTTATTTTGATACATGTTGCTTTCTTCTAATGAGATATTGCTCTAAGGGAGAGAGGGGAAGTCATGTATCTTGTGCTGGAATGACCTATGTACTTTCCACTTTCCAGAAGCAAGTCCTACTCAGATTAACGAATCATCAGGACAATGATCAAAATGGAGAGTCTTTTCATGTATTCATAAAAATATACTTAATATCCATGGGTAAATTCTTGGATCTGTAGAAGCAATGTATTTCCCAATAGTTACTTTGTATCTGCAGAAATGCAAAACAGAAACATATTGTCTAAAATGTTACATAATTAAGCAATTGCACAAACAGGAAAGCAATTTCAAGTCGGTTAGTAACTGGATTGGGAATTCGGATAAGCAATAATTACATTGCAGAAAACAAAATAATTAGTTGGGTTTTGCTCTGAATGGGGAATATGATGAGCATGATTTAGACCAAATGAATGGACAATAGACAGCTGGACTTTCAATTAGGAACTTGGACACTTAGAATAAATATGAGCCTTTAGTACACAATCAGGAAAAGATGACCTACAGATCTAGTTATACTTGCAGTTTGGACAATCTTTAACCTTGAGGATGTTGTGCTAAATGATATGGTCATAAAGCATAATTTCACATGACTACACCAACTTACAATGGCAGTTGCAACAATGCCATTGTTAGGCAAATCCTGTGTGGTGGCAGAATTTCATAGTCGTGTGATCTATTTTCAACCTCCTGCCAACTTCCCCACTGATTTTACTTGTCGGAAGCTAGCAATGAAAGTCACAAATGGTGATAACATGACACAGGAAGCTGCAGAGTTATAACTGTGAGCTGGTTGCTAGCCACCAAATTGCAAGCTTATGATTATGGGGATGTTGTAAGAGCCACAACTATGAGGAACAAACCTACGTCCCATCATAACTTTGGTTGCTGAGCTATCTGTGTGCCAAAGAGGAAGAAGGGGTAGCTATTATATTTAAAAAAAAAAATCTTTCAAAATCTTGAAATTTCCTCATTGCCAACTCAGCAGAAAGCCAGAAAATATATTCAAAATCATTTCACATTCAAATAAACAGGATAGTTGATTTCAAATAAATAAGTTTAATTTCATTGGAGAAATAAAATATGGCATGGTAGTAACACATTTGTAACATTATATACTATTCCGCTATAGGTAGTTTAATGGCAGAAGCTACTTTTCATGACAATCTTACCAGTACCCATGTACAAAGTAATAAACAAATCGCCAACAGAAACATATCGCAGCAGTTGCAAGGGGTGCTACTAGCTCAAACAAACATCTAACAACACAGTGTACTTTAAGGAGAGGGTTATAATGTTAGATTTACAGACATTGTGAGTTTTAGGCTTTTCACTTGGAAACAATGAAAATAAAAGGCTACAGAAAACCAACTTAGCTATTACAAGGAAAAACTTTCTCTGACATTGCATCCCTGGAACTTTTCAGATGTCATAGCAACTTGATTACTCCATTCAGCTGTGACAGTTATCCCTTTTTCAGGCCACTGCTTGTATAACTGACAATTTAAATGTTTTTATTTAATTTTATTTACATACATTCACCACAGGAAGAAGTTTATTTATTATACAAGAGGCATTTTCATCAGTGCAAGAAAAAAGAAATTCAGAGTGATTGCACAGCATCAAATAAGAAATATGTACATTAAGATGATGGACAATCTAATTTCTACATAATAACACTGATGGTTTCTGGTACAGGTATACACAACATTTAAAGTTAATACAGATAAGTTTTAGTCATGAGACCACTCGTTTTGTGAGAGTGGGTGGGCAACTATGAAGAAATGAAGGTTAAGCTGCTAGGCGATTAACAGGGAATGTGAGCATTTGGGGAGAACATTTTCCAAAGGAAGGGTCCTTCTCCTAGCAGACCTTCTTAAAACAAGGCATCCACTTCCCCAAGCTGCATTAAAGCAGGAGAATTGATTGGGTGGATTAGACTAGAGCCTATCTGGTCTAATGTTTTGTTTTCCTGACAACGGCTGGCTAAATGGCTTATCTTGGAGGATCACAAGCAGGTTATCAAAGAAAACCGCAACCCCCGTTTTCCAGCCTCTATCGAGGTGACATATGGTGCCTCTGGGAATGGAAATACTCCATTTAGGCAGGGATGTCTGGCGAAATGTATAGAAAGCAATTAGTGACTAAGATGGATTGGAAGGGGCACGCCATTTGAGGCACCCCATGAGGAACACAACACTGACGGCTTGCCTAGCACCAGGTGGCTGAATGATCAACAACATGATCAGTCCGTTGCCATACTGAGAACAGTTGGCAGTTCGTTGCCTAATGCTACCCAAACTACATGCCCAGAAGTGCAGCTCTGTTCAGCTGCCCTGAGCCTCACCTGCCTCCTTCAGGTACATTTGAGGAAGAGAGTGCAACTCTCCGTTGCTGCTTTCTAGGACTCTTTTGGTCCCTGCACCCGAATAAGGACTAATGGCCCTTGCGCCACAGAATCTGCAGGAAAGAGCAGAACCTTGAAAGGTAGATAAGAAATGTATAAAATTCAACCAATGCACCTCTTCACAGTATATTGCCTTAGTTGTGAAAACTGTCTTGCGTGCATGCATACACATACATACGCACCTCCTACTGTATATAGATTCCTCAATAGGGTTTTTCAGGACATATACAAATAACGAATACACATGAAGAACAATATCCAGTCTTGGAATCAAGGACCTTATTTGCAAAGCTCTGTTAATGCCCACACTGAAGCATATGAAGCTCTGGTCTGGGGCAAATGGATATTTGCATTTTTCCTCATCCCAAATCAGAAAGAAAGAGAAAGAAATGAAGAAAACAAGGACACTTGACCTCACTAATGTTTAAATCCCTAATTTAGAGTCGTGTAAAATCTAGCATTCCTCAGAACGACTAGCAGTTGTGCTGATTGGAGAAGAATCAGAAGAGCCTGAAGCTCCCCATGCAGAAGGAAGCTTCCTTCTCAAGCGTTTTGAGAATAGCTGCCCTAAAGCATGGCTTAAAAGCAGCTAATCTAAGTAAAGTAGCAATAGTTAACTTTTAGCATTTGTTTTGTAGGGACTTCATAGCCAGCTCAGCTGCAAAATGGTGCTATTATTATCTACATAGTTTAAAAAGAGCTTTTTAAAGGAAAAATACTTATTTACTTAAATGGAATATATTGATGAGGACATAGTATTTCACAGGAAGTTGTTTCTTGATCAATAAGCACCATAGTAAGTGCCATGACAGCCCCATTGTCCCAAAGTTTATTTTAATCACAAAAGATAGCAACTTGAATACATAAAACAGAAATTCACACAACTTTGCATTAAAGCCACAAGAATTAAGTTTAAAAATGATAATTATAGTTTATACTTTGGGGTATTTTTTGCTCCTAAATGTTCAGATTGAAAACTGTCCTATTGATGTAGAAAACATTTGCTTCGAATTATATCAGTTTGTATCCAGTCAGCAATGGCTGCAGCACATACAGGTAACAAAAGTTGTTCCCCTCATTCCATTTAGTGTATGTTCAGACTCATACTAATGGTCTATTATGGGAACTTAAATTCTTGAACAATGAGATTGCCTTACCAAAGAGCTATTACCAAACTTTCTGTCTGTCTGTCTGTGCATGTGTGTCTGGAAGAATTTCCAGTGGATATTTGGAAGAAATTCACCTGCAATACTTGCTGTTTCCTTTATGGACGGCTCTGACCATAGGGTATCATATGAAAGCTGCCACCTTTTTGCTCCTTCCCAAGATGTGAAGATATGGGACATATTTATTTTGTGCTAAATTCCATGTGTGTATTGGCAATAATCAGCTTAGTTCCTGCTGCATCTCTCAAATTCAAACAGTAACATTTTGTTTTATCCTCAGCCCAACAGTGATTTGATATTTACTAATTAGCTGAAATTATATTGTTTGGAGATAACTTTCCTGTTCCTGTGTGGAACCTTTCTGCTGGTTGTTCATCGGAATGGAATTCTTATTTACCTTATAGTGGCCCAGTTAATTTACAAGAATGAATTAACCCATGTTTAGATCACCAGTCTTGGACTCTTCTCTATTCAGGTACAATTTACTAATATTGTGAATGCAATATATTAGCTTCCTTCTTCTCTTCCCTCAGGGTACATTGGATTACAACTCTATGAATTCTTGTCATTGTAACCAGTTTATACGTTGCTACTACCTACATTAATTACTATGTGGAGGTAACAAAGCTATTTTAAAGTTAATTTTTATGAACCTTTCATTCTGGTGATTAAAAAAAATAAGGCACTATCAATGTAATCACAGCCTCTTTCATTAGCTAGGTCCCCTTTGTCATGAAAACAGGGGCAGCCCAAGGATAACGTATTCTTCTTCCATTTTCTGTATCTTTTCTTAAATAAAACAGAAGCCTTACTATTCAAAGCTATCAAAAATCCTAGTTTGTAACTAGGGTCATCTTCAGACCAAACCACGATTTGTTTAATCATAATTTACTGAAATAAAACACAATTGGCTGGATTCACATAACATGCAAAGCCATGAATCCTGATTCACAAGCCAGAATTGTTGGGTTCATATACTATAATACACGGGTCTTCCAAACTCGGCCCTTTTATGACTCATGGATTTCAACTCCCAGAATTCCTCAGCCAGGTATGCTGGCTATGGATTTCTGGAAGTTGAAGTCCGTGAGTCATAAAAGGGCTGAGTTTGAAGACCTCTGTTATAATAAAACAAGCCACATTATGGCTTCTTCTTAGTATAAAGTATGTGTCCAGCCTATGTACGACTATAATTTCAAATGGGGGGAGAAGACATTTCTGATCTTGCTCTTTAAAACAGAAATTCCTGACAATGAACATGAATAGAGTAGGCTGTGTTTTCCTTCTCATGAGAGAAGGACCCATGTTCTTCTGGATCACCTTCCTAAGGATTTCATCTATTACAACAACAGCCGCATCAAGGATTTTATTGGAGATGGATAGATGGATGGAAGGAAGGGGGGGGGGGAGAAGAGAATGGAAGAAGATCAAGCAGAAATGCCAACCATGTCAGGACTATAGATGGAGATGAAATTGAACCCATTCCTTTTCTACATTCCTGGAATAAAAATCTTCCATTCAAACAGCATAAGAAAAAAGGTCCTACTGCATTGGTATTCTGGAACCTGGGTATCACTGGTTAAGCACTACCTTAGCACTCTATTTTGCTTATCAATGAAATTAAATTTATTTATTCTGGTTTCTAGTATTTTAGGTTTCAGTTTATCTACTGTTGACCATTCATCTTTTCATATGGTAGTTGTAAGCCTTATTGCATATAAGGATCTGGATTTATACACCTACTAAGTTGACAGCGCATAACACTGGGTTTAGCGTCCTGCCATGTAAACCCAGCCTCTAGATTCCTGATGCTATGGATAGGTTCCAAACCACCAATAAAGTCTCCAGAAAGGGAAACTGTCCATGTAGCATCTTTCTCTCTATATATGTAACCTGGTCAATAAGAGGAGTCACAGCATGAAGATCTGCTTCCACAAGTCATCTTGGCTAGATCATAGTGATCTGGCGAATACTTTGTTGTGATCAGGAATTTAAGGCTTGCATGTTTCGTTTTCTTTTTTAAGGTTTGGCATTTAAATTTCTACCTCTGCATTTTTAATTCTGGCAGAGATTATGAAGATTTGGAGGTTTTCAGGATTCTCCTGTATTTTGCTGCTGTTGTGGCTTAATTCTGACACTTGCAAATGTTTATTTTAGGCTTTCTATATTTGTTCATAGTGATAGTCTGTTTTTTCAATCATTTTTATAGTTATTCTGACTCAATAAGAAGCCAATCAGCCTTAAAATGTAATAGCACTTTTGTCTTCTCCGCAAGGCTATCTTGTTAATACCAAAGTATTATTTTTCTTTAGGTATCAGATTGGGTTTTTTTCCAATATAATGCTGAAATTTTGTTATGGATTTGGCTGGAAGAACTCACTTTTAAAAACAGAATTCGTGTGTAAAGAATGCAACAACAAATGTAAGAAAACATTTGGTCACAATTTCTTATCTTAACAATATTAATTCAACCTACAGTTATTTAGAATTGACACACAATTCACACAAATACATAGTAATTACATATGCACATATTTTAAGAAGTACGATAGCAACATTTTATCCATTTGTGACCAAAATTAGAGTTTGGCATCTCAGCTTTCAAAATGCATGGAAACCAGGAATTTAGGAATGCAACACGTTTCAAGTATATATCACAGTGATAACTTTGTACACTGGTCACATGTTGTCTTTGGAGATTCTTTGCTAGCAACTGGCCAGACCAAATCATTTCCAGTTAAATAAACCAAAGCCTGATATCATGCCTCTTACATCATAAACCATTTCCAACAAAAAGCCAATGAACTGTTAAAAACTGCTTTTTACAGTTTGAGCAATATAATTTTCTTCTGCAAAGAAAAAGTTGTTATAGTTTGTTGTTCTTGCTATTCCCAATTTCAGGCTTCATAGGAATTTCAAATGTGAAGAGAATCAGTGTAAAGCCTTTCCCTTTAAGTTCACTAAAAACACTAAGAACATAAAGTTTTCAGTATACCTCACAGACACTCTTCAAAGTACAGGAAATATTTTCATGATAGGGTGAAAGGGTTACATCATCACATACTTTACATTACATTTACATAAATCTACTTAATCACTTCAGGTAAACAAGTATCAGTAACATACAGTAAACATTGTACATTTCAACAAAACATAATACAAAATGTTTACAGTCCAGTACTGCTGCATTCGGAGGAGAGGATGGTATGAAAACTTACTTACCATTAATATACTTCATACCAAAAGTAAATGCAATTATAAAATTAGCATTGGATCTGATTATAATATTGTGCATCTAATATATTTCCCCTTAGTATATAGATCTCTCTTGTTGATTAACGAGAAGTTTTTGTACATAATAATAGGGTTAAGCAATTACTAATCAATTTACATTTTGCCAATTGAGAAATCTAGTTCTAAAAACAAAATCTGAGTCCTTGTTTATAGAACCTGGGGAAGGGGCTACTACTTAATTTAAAAAAAATCATTTAAAAAGAGCAAAATTTAAAATGGTACATTTGAGGAAAATACATTTTTGAAATCATGATTTTTCTCCCGCTTTCTCTCACTTACTTCTCCCAAACATTGTCTCTGTTTTACAATGCCTCTGCAGTAGTGTCTGAAGAGACCGACATAGTCACTTTAGCAATCTTAACTGTATTTTTAATGCATCTTTCTGCAGCCTTATGGACATTGCCTGGATTGTTAGCGTGTCTGTGCTGGCAGTCAGACTCCAAACTATTATCAAGAGGCTGTGCGGTCCCTTCGCAAGGTGGAAACATGCTTCTGAAAGCATGTCTCAGGTCCTTGCTCCTCAGAGCATAGATAATTGGATTCACCGTAGAATTCAGCAGACATAGCATACTACAGAAGGCAAAGATAGTTTTGACAAGCTTGTTCATTTTCCCAAAGACGTCATACAACATAATAGCCAGCAGGGGACCCCAGCAGATGATCAGAACCACAAGAATGAGGACTAACGTTTTGGCTAGCCTAATGTCCATACGTGTTTGTTCTGGCCTAGTGATGTGCTGCACTTTACCATCTCCTGAAGTATGAATTATTATGCTCTTTTGAGTTCCACGTTGGAGCATCCTAATAGTATGGCTATGAGCTTTCCAGAGTATATACATATAGGCATAGACAATAAAAAGCAAGAGTACAGTGGTGACCCCAATCCAGAACAACAGATAATTTTCATCAATTAGGGGAAATATATCTGAGCAAACAGAATTGAGCCTTTTGCAGTTCCAACCAAGCAAAGGGAGAACAGCTATTACAATAGCTATTGTCCACATCACACAGAATGCTACAACAGCCTTTGACCTGGTAACAATCCTTTTGTAGGAGAGGGGCCTGTGTATAGATATGTATCTGTCTATTGCTGTGAGGAAAAGACTTCCAACTGAAGCAGTGAAAGAGGCTGTAACTCCACCCAACTTGAAAAGGAACACATTAGGGCTGTCTTTCCGGTGGAAAACATGGAAATCAACAAAACTGTAGACAAAGATTACACTGCCGAGGAGATCAGCTACTGCCAGGCTGCTAATGAAATGATAGGAAGGCCTGCAGCGAAGGCTTCGAGATTGCAGGATGACAACTAAGACCAGAAGATTTTCCAGAACAGTAAAGGTGCCCAGCGTGAGGGACAGGACTGCAATGGCTAGCTGCTGACTAGGATTCAGAATCATGAAGCACTCCATGTCCATAAAGTTATCACCACACTGTATACTCTCCTCATTCTCCTTAAAAGAAAAGGTTTTATTGTAAAAATCTGTAATATTGATTTGATCCGATGGGTGTGCACCTAAAGAGGCATCTTCTCCTGCAGTCATTTTGGGATGGAAATCATCTCGAAAAGAAGACAGAGGAAATTTCTCTGGGTAGTATCCTAATTTGGAGGCCATGTCACTTTTAAAGTCTTCGTACTGGATGTCGTTAGAACCCATATAAAGAAGGTCTGTTGTAATTGTTCTGAAGGTTGTATCTGCAAGGCCATCTAGGACTGACTTCATAACCCCAGATGACTGTTATGCAGAGTTGGAAAAAAATATGAGGCAGTCCTGTCGGGGAGAAAACCAAACTTAAATAAATATATGCAAAGTTGGAACAGATGAAAGAAATAAAAAAGCAACTTAACTGAGTTAGTGCCCTTAGCCTACTGAATATTGAATCAGTTTCTCATATTTACAGTAGATGAATATTAATTAAATTGCAGAATATTTAGAATATTTTTCTATGGAGTGAAATGATTAAAAACTTTGGGCAGAAATATTATAGTACACATTTGTTTTGATTAAAATATTCTATTCTTATTATGTATATTTTAAAATGTTTTCCCGTTTCTATTTCATAAGCCAGTGATCTCTGTTTCTTAAAATACAATAACACCAATGGCTGCTGCAGAATACTGAAATAAGAGCAGTGTTCAGTTATACTCTTCCCTTATGGGCACATGTACAGCCTTCTTCCCCTTTTCCTCCTCCTAGTTTTCTATTATTTTTATTTTCCTTAATTCTGATAAACTAATACAACACATGATGAGCTGTTTTTAGAAAAGCTGAAACAACTGTACATGATTCAGATCCTTTTACTGAATATTCCATAGAATCTATTGTTCAATTAATGTCATTGGGCTCCTCCCTGATCCAATCATAGGATACTGCAATATATTGAAAAAGCAAAATACAAGTGAAACCTATTATTCATGTATAATCACGGCAGAAATTAAATCATTTTGATAAATACTCTTTCTCTCAGTTACACGAGTCAAAATTTTATGAACACTTTCAGCAGAAGTTTAAGTCCTTGTCCAGCTTGGACCAATATGTTCAGATTCAAAATAAATCGATTCAGGGTTGCTGGATAATATTAGTTCTCAACTATTTACCTCATACAGTATCTGATCTTAAAATAGGTAACATTTTTAAAGCAAATCTAAGCGTGCAAACCTAGCGAAAAAATATGCTATTCCATATAATACTTTCTATAATAAATAGGAACACAAGATGATTATGCAAAGTTAAAAACTGTTTGTTTTGGAGGAATTACTTCAGACCCCACACGCACAGCATTTTTCTCCTATTCATTAAAAAAAACAACTGGGTTTTTTTCAGGTTTTTCCATCCTATTAAAAAAAAGTTGCTTTCTTAAAGGAAACATTCATTCTAGGCTCTTAAAGGAATGACACCTTTTCTTAGGTGTATGTTAGCATTCAGGGAACATATTAATCTTCATGATTGACTACAAATTACCTTTTTTAATGTTCTGACTTTTTTTATTCTTTTAATTTAAAATATGGGAAGTAGCCATGCTTAAAAATAAAGTCCTGGCCTATAGCATGATTTTATTTGTAAGAATGACTTGGCTCCATATGAGCCCTTTACTTTCACTTAGAAAATAAAAATAATTGGTAGCAATATTTCCTATACATCTATTCAAACACTTCTCTGCATAAATTATTCTGTTCTTTAACTTAGTTAAACTTAATTTTACAGAGTTAACTCAGCAAAAAAGGGATTGTATAGATTTATTTATTTATTAAATAATTTCTGTTTGATTGTTTTTGATTGATTCAGTGATTGTTTTTAAGATTACTTTCTGGACCTTAAGTTAAATATCCCAAAGTACCAGTTTCAGAAAAGCCAAAGAAGGTAAAAAGAGAAAATAGAAGGGCTAAACTGAGATGCTTCCTGCTACCCCAATAATGGTTCTCTCCATTTATTATTTGCATTACAGGTTGTCCTCAACTTAAGACTGCAACTGAGCCCAACATTTATATTAACAATATTTGTTAAGTGAGTTTTGCCCCATTTTACAACTTTTCTTGCCAGACTTTTTAAGTGAATCACTGCAGTTCTTAAGTTAGTAACCTGGTTGTTAAGTGAATCTGGATTCCCCACTGACTTAGCTTGTCAGAAGGCCGCAAAAGGGGATCGTGTGACCCCAGGACACTGCAACCGTCATAAGTATGAATCAATTGCTAAGCATCTGAATTTTGCTCATGTGACTATGGGGATGCTGCAATGGTCGTAAGTGTGAAAAATGGTCATAAGTCACTTTTTTCAGTGACGCTGAAACTTTGAACGTCACTAAATGAACTGTTGTAAGTTGAGGACTACCTGTACTTTACATTTAAAAATCCTAAACAGCAGATATTTACTTTTTAAAAAAAACTTTCATATGTCTAGTACTGTAGACATGTCCTATTTAAATGTCCTATTTAAACATAATTATAGCATCTAACTTAAGTATCTTACATGACAAACAATTCTCTCTTTCTCTCTCTCTCTCTCTTAAATGAACTATCATTTATTTGTCTTCTGTAAAACTTAATGGAAGGCAAACATAAAACTGCATCAGTGGTGGGATTTAGCTGGTTCGTACCACTTTGGCAGAACCGGTAGCTAATTTTTTTGTTGCCCAGATCCAGAATGGACTTCTGGAAGCGGCATCCACACAGAGAACCGGTTGTTCACATGTTTGAATCCCATCACTGAACTGCATGCTTTAATAAGAAGGCTTCAATCACAGAATTATCAAGCTGGTTCAAAAATCATCAACTGTGTTCACAGTCATATTATGTAATCTTGCTTAACTTTGCTCTAAGGCAGGGGTAGGCAAGCTTGGCTCTTTTATGACTCGTGGACTTCAACTCCCAAAATTCCTGAGCCAGCATGTCCACGAGTCATAAAAGAGCCAAGCTTGCCTACCCCTGGTCTAAGGAAACCACAATTTTTAGATTCACATAAACTAGGATTTATCAACTATATTAGTTAGAGTCATCTCTAAGTCACAACCAAACCAATCATCTTACAGTATAGCATTATGTGTGAATCTAACCAATATGGGAAAGTCAGATGTCATATACCCTACAAATCTTTTTCACATATAGTATTTCATTTTTTAATATCTTTCAGTCTTATTCTCCTTTAATAAACTTATCTCATAAATTTCTGAGGAAATGCTTCCTGACATATTTTTCCCTTTGGAGCCTACCTAATGCTTTTCTATTTATATCTAAAATGGCAACTTTTCCATTTATTAAAGCTGCAGTTCAAACATTATATTGCATGAATTAAATATCACCAAGGACTCTCTAAATAGAAACCAATTTTAATCAGTTGAAAAACAACTGACTTCAATGAGAATTTAAAAAAAAAATCAGGGTAAAAATCAGTAGGTGCTGACAATGTATAGTACAAATGAAAACTGTGCTTATATTAGAATTAGTTATATACAATCATTCTATAAATAAATGTTAATATTATTACACTAACTGTTATTTTATTTTACCCCTATCATATTGTTGCTTCTTATATTATAGCAATTATTTTGTTTAATTACATTTTAAAGAGAAAAGCTTTTCACAGTTTGAGATTTGTGAAACACTGCCATCACTCTAGCTTAGCCACTAGATTTTTCATATAATTAGAATTACCATTAATCCAATATGGATCTGAATAAAATTTAAAATATGTTCACTACACAGTAAGGTAAGTGGAAGAAACCTCCCAATGAAGTGATTTAAAATATGTAATGATGAATTTTTAATAAAATTTTCACAACTAATTTTAATAAAATTCATAGAACAGAATCAAATTTAATTGCCTTGCAACATACAGCTAACTCTAAAATATGCTAATTATTGGAACAAAATAAAGAAATCCTTAACAAAAATCAATGTATCTCATTACATTAAAAAAAGAAAATTTCAGAGTTGTGTATAACAAAAAGAATTTTTTCTGAGGTCTTCTCAATTAGCTCTATAAGATGTATAAAAATGACTATGCATATTATATTAATGTCACTTCATTTTATATTTTTATGAAGCTAAACTATGTAATGACAAAGCTGCAGTGATCAGTTTGCCACCAACTCTTCCTTACAACTTTTCCTATCTTAAAAGTGCAGAAAAATATTCAGACAGTAACTTGATTTAAAGTACATATATGCATATGCAGAGATTTAAAAAATAAATCACAAATTGCTGCTTTGTATGGGTTTACTATTCAAGGACCATGATCAATCATATCATGACAACCAAATCCCACCATGTCCCATTTCCCCCATACTTCTACATTTAGATTATCACAGTAATTTTCAAGTTACTTTATTTTGCAAATAAAAATTTCTTTTAGAATACAAGGGAGCTCATTAGTAATAGAGTTTAGACTTTTGGGAATGCAGCTGGATTCTCTTCTGTTTGTTTCTTTGTTTGGCTTTTGAGAATATAATAATTGCAAATCACAAGCGATGTGTATTTGCACCTATTAAAACGGTGAAAACTACATTAAGGCTAAACTAAAACAACTAATTCAACTCCCATTGAAATCCAGATGTGGAGAAAAATGCACGTGCAGCAAACTGCCGTGCTTTCCCCCCCACAAACCTCATAACTTTTTGATACCCTTTGTCACAGTGAAGCAGCCAGAAGGTCATACCCTTTTGACTTAATGCCTCACCTACCTAAACAGATAATATGCTTAAGTTCCTTCCTATCTCTTCCTGTCTTTGTCAGTTCTTTCTCCTTTTGATCTACCTGTATTTGTTCTTACCTGGTCTTTGACCATGTAATGTGTTATTAGAAAATAGTTGCTTACATGAAGACATTTTCCAATGAAGAAACCTTTGTCAGCATCTAATGGTTAAGCTGGTGTATGTAACAAGTATATAAGAAGCAATAAACTCAGAGTTTGTCAAGCTGTGTCCTGCAGCTTCAAACCTCTGCTCAAGACATGCCTATGTCTTTTTCTTAGCGTCTTACATCTGGCCCCTGAACAGGGACAGTCCCCCATGGAGCAACTGGGACCGCCCCCCCTTCCGAGGGAGCAACAGCCAACATACTTACCAGCGTCTGGAATAGACCTCTAAGTGCACTTTCGTCCTATGGGACCCCTCAGTGGTAAGTAAGGGTTGCAATCTATCTCAGCACCAGCAGAAACATGTACAGGAACTCAGATTCCTGTTACACAAATCAGGCGTGAAAGCGCCTGAGGCAGACATAAGGAAGTGGTGGATGAGGTAGGGAAACATTCCCCTTGATATCCTAAGCGCTGGATGC